ATCCTGTGAGTGGACACACCACCATAGCAGCATGTACAACACTCCCCAAAAGGAAGAAAACCCGCTGGGTTGTTCATCCTGTCACTTGTACCCAGACACAGCTGGGACTTGCTAAACTTTTTTTTTGAGATATATACAAGAGTTGTTACATTCTTGTACAGCCACTAGTACGCGTAGCGTTTCGGGCAGGTCCCTGGAATACGATTCCCGCCGCGACGTTACAACCAAATACCCATTTTACTGTTGAGTTAAACAGAGGCTATAGTTAAGGATTTGCGTCCAGTAAATCCTCCCCGGCCAGGATACAAACCCATGACAAAGCGCTCGCGGAACGCCAAGCGAGTGTATTACCACTACAAACTGTCTCAAGTGAACAGCTCCTCAAACAAGAAGATTAACATCTGTCAACCCTTAAAAGCTTACGTTATCTTGCGGGTGCAAAATGGGGAAATCTTTTAAGAACAGTATCAATATTTGACAAATAGTGTTTTCCTAACTCAAACAATGTGGGGTTTATCATTCTACACATACTTCTAATGTCTCTCAGGTGTTCACATTCACGTAGATAGTGGTCAAGGCGGTGTCCGTCACTCTCACCACAGATTCTGCAACTTCGCTGATCAACTGTTATTTCTTATTCGAGTTTCTACGAGAGTTTTCTATGTTGGACTGTATCAAATGCTTGTTTGACACAGTCTAGGAAGACACAATCGACTTGAGAATGGTCCAGGACGGACCGAAACGTCGTCGTCCCTTCACCTTCTAGTGTGTGGTCTGGTCCACATAATTTAGCCACTTTATTGTGACTCGTCGCCTGCATAGGAAGACACAGCTTACCCATCCCTCCTAGCAGTCAAGATTTTCCTTCCCAGAATGTATGTTGATAGTTACAAAATTTTAATTCTCTAGATGTTCTAAGACTTTCCTCTCTACGAGGTTCTCAGGGTATCTCTCGACTACCTCGTAGGGAATGTTTGAGAATGACTCTGGTGTGTAGTTCAGTGGTATTTGCCTTCAGCCTTTGTTGTAATATAGGGGACCACGTTAGTTCTTTTCCACACCTCAGGGAGTTCTTCGTCTTATAGCGAAGAGTTGCAAGTGGTATTCACAGTTCATTTGCTGCTTCCTTTAATATCCACGGTGAGATCTCGCCAAGGCTTATGTATCTATAGCGCCTTCTGTTTCTTACTCAGCCGTCTTATGGGTACGTCTTATACTAATAGGTTCCTGGAATCTGGGCTCCTGGGGTCTGGGTTCCTGGGGTCTGGATTCCTGGGGTCTGGGTTCTTGGGGTCTGGGTTCCACATTGAGGACCTCCTGGAATGTTACATTCAGCAGGTGGCACGCGTCGTTCTTTTCCAGCTACTCTTCCCTCTCTTTCACTTAGCTGGATTACTTGGACATTTAGAGACATGTTTCTCGTGATGTGCAGAAGTTAAGGTTAGACCTTGGCCAACCAGATACAGTGTAACCACTCCACTCCACAAATGATATTGGAGACGGGTTCGCATTTCACTCCACAATGGGAAGGTCTATGAAGTTGCTGATCATTTTAACCAGAAGTGGTGTTGGATTGTCCGCTGAAGAGGCTCAGGGAGTCTTGTGGTTTCTGTGGAGCCTCGTGCGAGAGTGACCTACCTTACCTTCAGTTTACCTTGAGGTGCTTCCGGGGCTTAGCGTCCCCGCGGCCCGGTCGTCGACCAGGTCTCAAGGTTATCTGGATGATTTTAAATTTGCATTGAGGTATGCTCGGAAGCAATTTTGTTCAGGACTAATTGGGGGAATATGTGTGTGTGTACTCACCTAGTTGTACTCGTCTAGTTGTGCTTGTGGGGGTTGAGCTATGGCTCTTTGGTCCCGCCTCTCAACTGTCAATCAACTGGTGCACAGGTTCATGAGCCCATTGGGCTCTATCATATCTACACTTGAAACTGTGTATGTGGAGTCTGCCTCCACCACTGTGTGTGTGTTTGTATGTGTATATTTTGGCATTTTCACGCACCATTGTTCTTAAATATCTCTGAAATAAGGACCAATTACCGGCTGCCTTTGTAAGTATCTGCTCGACACTAATTAGAGGACAGATGGACCCAGATGAGAGAGATGAATAATTAATTAATGTTAACACTGAGGGCAGAGCCTGTTGTGCACATCTCCTTCATATACCAGGACTGAAGGTGATGCAGTCATGCAAGACCATAACTTGCTTATGGTGTTTCAGCATCTATGAAGGCAGACCGTAATAATTAACAAAGGGAGGAGCAAGGTGATAGGTGTGGACGCGACACAAGATGAACATTGACACAGGTGGTGAAGGGTCAGGATCAGTGAGACAGTTTGGTGTTGGTGATGCTGGTGTTGGTGGTGGTGGTGGTGGTGGTGCTGTTGGTGCTGAAGGGACTGGTACTGCTGGTACTGGTACTAGTGCTGGGGCTGGTACTGCTGCTGGTACTGGTGCTATTCCCACCGCCTTAGGTCTTCCCAAACCTTGGACTGGAGCAGGTTTAAGGCTCTCTCTTGGTGTCCAGTTCCCAGAGCAGATCCTCATAATGGCGTGACTCACTACAATTATACTCAATGACTTTCATGATGACAGATATTCACACACACATTTATATACACACATTCACACACACACGTCCTTACCGAGAGCGTTAGCTCTTGGACCCCGCCTTTCTAGCCGCCGGCTGTCTAATGTGTGTGTATAATGTGTGTTTATAATGTGTGTGTTTAATTAACAACAAGACAATACGCAAGTGCGGGACCTTCGGCAAGGGTAATTGTTTTACATTATTTACATGTTAAAACCCTAGTTTAAGATTATATGTTGTGAAGACTGAGTAGCAGGCTCACCTTGAGCTTCCCTGAGGTGCAGGTGTACCGTGCCTTGGTCACTCCCCCGTGGTGTACCGTGCCTTGGTCACTCCCCCGAGGTGTACCGTGTTCTGGTCACTCCCCCGAGGTGTACCGTGTTCTGGTCACTCCCCCGAGGTGTACCGTGCCTTGGTCACTCCCCCGAGGTGTACCGTGTTCTGGTCACTCCCCCGAGGTGTACCGTGTTCTGGTCACTCCCCCGAGGTGTACCGTGTTCTGGTCACTCCCCCGAGGTGTACCGTGCCTTGGTCACTCCCCCGAGGTGTACCGTGTTCTGGTCACTCCCCCGAGGTGTACCGTGCCTTGGTCACTCCCCCGAGGTGTACCGTGTCCTGGTCACTCCCCCGAGGTGTACCGTGTTCTGGTCACTCCCCCGAGGTGTACCGTGTTCTGGTCACTCCCCCGAGGTGTACCGTGTTCTGGTCACTCCCCGAGGTGTACCGTGTTCTGGTCACTCCCCCGAGGTGTACCGTGTTCTGGTCACTCCCCCGAGGTGTACCGTGCCTTGGTCACTCCCCCGAGGTGTACCGTGTCCTGGTCACTCCCCCGAGGTGTACCGTGTCTTGGTCACTCCCCCGAGGTGTACCGTGCCTTGGTCACTCCCCCGAGGTGTACCGTGTTCTGGTCACTCCCCCGAGGTGTACCGTGTTCTGGTCACTCCCCCGAGGTGTACCGTGTTCTGGTCACTCCCCCGAGGTGTACCGTGCCTTGGTCACTCCCCCGAGGTGTACAGTGTTCTGGTCACTCCCCCGAGGTGTACCGTGCCTTGGTCACTCCCCCGAGGTGTACCGTGCCTTGGTCACTCCTCCGAGGTGTACCGTGTTCTGGTCACTCCCCCGAGGTGTACCGTGTTCTGGTCACTCCCCCGAGGTGTACCGTGTCCTGGTCACTCCCCCGAGGTGTACCGTGTCTTGGTCACTCCCCCGAGGTGAGCCTGTTGTGGCTGAGCGCCTTGTGTTGTGAGGGCCTTGTGTTGTGAGGGCCTTGTGTTGTGAGGGCCTTGTGTTGTGAGGGCCTTGTGTTGTGAGGGCCTTGTGTTGTGAGGGCCTTGTGTTGTAAGCATCTTGTGTTGTAAGCATCTTGTGTTGTGAGGGCCTTGTGTTGTGAGGGCCTTGTGTTGTAAGCATCTTGTGTTGTGAGGGCCTTGTGAGCGCGGAGCTTCTTGTTCTCCACCAAGTTTTGCCAGCTGGGAATGTTGAGAACATTGATCTTATACATAACAGTAAGGCCGCGAACATTTCACCAGTGTTGAGTACTCGCATGTGCTGACCTGTCAAACCAGAACGGATCAAGACTGTCTTGAGGTTATCTTGAGATAATTTCGGGGCTTTAGCGTCCCCGCGGCCCGGTCCTTGACCAGGCCTCCTTTTTGTTACACCCCCCCAGGAAGCACGGAGGCTCAAGAGCTAGAACCCGACCTTCTAAACGCAACACTGTAAGCAACACATCCACCATTGTGTATTCCAAACAATCGCCTCAAGATTTCAAGATCCGGATATGCATCTCTGGCAAGTGTCATCGCGTCAAGGGCGGTGAGATTATCCCTCACAAGGGCTCTATATATTTACATAAAGCAACACGCCCCACACTGATGGTAAAGTGGGGCTCATCACTCTCTCTGTGTGCATGTTGGTGATAATTTAAGACCATTTACTATGTGCTGTGAACACGAGGGCTTCACGGGAAGCCTCGAGGAGGCCTCTGTTGCTTCATCCGCTTGTGGGCTCCTCTTAGATGGGGGACCCTGTTAAGTCGGTGTTATTGTTGGGGATGACATGGTTTAATGTTGTTGCTAAGGTGGTGAGGGGTAGTTATGGTGAGAGACAAGCAGGCAGGCCGGCAGGCAGGCAGGCAGGCAGGCAGGCAGGCAGGCAGGCCGGCAGGCAGGCAGGCAGGCAGGCAGGCAGGCAGGCCGGCAGGCAGGCAGGCCGGCAGGCAGACCGGCAGGCAGGCAGGCCGGCCGGCAGGCAGACAGGCATGTGATAACTGCGCTCACAGAGAACAAATACCTGTCAGTGTGTATCACTTTAGGGAACAAAGTTCCTCTCTGTCAGATTAGACAGCAACATATCGAATTATCATTGCCGTATAAAAAAAATCATAATGCTTTTATCTTCGTGTTCCAGAGACTTCCTGCTTGGCCATCTTTGCCCACCGCGACATAGACGGACTTACGGTAAGTGGACTTAATGGTTATAACATGTGTTCCTATTCACGCGCCTTCGTGTCATCTGTAAATGCAGTTAGTGAGGATTTATTTGTTTCTGCAACACGCGCACTTCATAATAACCTTCGATGTCTGTTGCAAATGCATTTAATTGCAACTTTGAGTTCTGGCCTCGGCTGGTGTTTGACGCAATTTAGAACATGTGCACGACCACATGTCGTAATTATAATAATTAAGCGTTAGTGAACTGACTATGCGATAGTGACGTTATGCGTTAGTGACATTAACTATGCGATAGTGACAGTGTGTATTATATTTGGCATAAAAACCAAAAAAAAATTCCTTGTGTTGGCGAGTCATTGAAATAAGTGGAGGGCGAGGCTGGTGTGTGGTGAGGCAGAGAGAGAGGAGTAGTTAAAGTAGGTAGGAGATGACAAAGGAAAACGCGAACAGCATACACCAGGGGACCTATTCCTTCATGGTTATATATACCTGGTATTTATATATATATGTGTGTGTGTGTGTGTGTGTGTGAGAGAGAGACCCAGCTCCCTGGTGTACCAGTAGTTGCCACTCGTAGCACTAGGCTCTCAACCTTCAACAGTCTCATGCTGGAAGTGCCATTCTCAAGAACATGAATCCATCAGCGATCATTCACTCCGAGGCTGACTCGCGTCTGGAACTTGTTCGCTCCACAGGTTGATACACGGGAGATCAGGTCAACTGATCACATGAAGGCTCTGGCACACAGTTGGCTACAGGCTTATCTTGTTCCTTATATGATTTTTACCTAATGTTAAAGTCTATTCCTACAGATGCATATAACAGGCTCGTGAAATAAATGGGCCTCTAGTACGTTTCAACTTAGCTGAGGAAGGATTACAGCTCTTGCTTGCACTTTCACCAGGTTCCTTATATGATAGTTCCCTATGTGATAGTTTCAAGTACATTCTTATGATATAAATGAGTTTCTAAGAGCCTGCTTCAGATGAGCTGAGGTAGGATAACAGCTCTTGCTTGCACTTTCACTAGGTACGCCATTTGACAGCCCTTATGATCCCTAGTCTTAGTTTTAAAAATGAGTCGACACATGAAGGTCGACCTGCTGCACTACTCGACTCTCCTCATCTATCAATTTTTTTATCCCAGTTCTTTGTATATCATTCCTTCTCTTACTTGTTCTTTCCTTCTCTTCACTATGCTCCCCTTCATCCTCCCCCCGCTTCCCTACCCTCTCCACCATTGTCTTAGTAAACATAAGTAAACTAGATGGGGTAACCGGCGGTGCCCGGGTCCACCCCAAAAGGTTGGGTCATGCCAGTGTTCAGAGCCGCTGAATAACATAATAAACAAATGATAAACTATGAAATCGGCCCCGAACATTTCATCCCCACTGACTTTATTAAGGGGAGCATTAGGGCTGACACCCCTTCCAAGGGGGGCATGACCCCCGACCCACCATTGACCATCACTATACACACACTAATCGCCCGGCAGCCAGGTTTAGTGAGGCTATCCTCTAGCGTCTGACCTCTGACCATGACTAGACTGGTAAAGAGGCATCCTCTTGTGTATAGACGTGTCTTGTTCACATCCATCTATACACAAGAGGATACTTCACCTCTCGGCTTCACCTCTTAGCTTGGTGTTCAGCTTTAAGTGTTCCACAATAAGTTACTTGCACCAGGTGACTGTAACAGGGGGCCTGTACCAAGTGGGTGTAACAGGGGGGCCTGTACCAAGTGGGTGTAACAGGGGGGGCCTGTACCAAGTGGGTGTAACAGGGGGGCCTGTACCAAGTGGGTGTAACAGGGGGGCCTGTACCAGGGGGCCTGTACCAGGTGTCTGTAACAGGGGGGCCCTATAACAGGTGCCTGTACCAGGTGTCTGTACCAGGTGTCTGTAACAGGGGGCCTATAACAGGTGTCTGTAACAGGTGCCTGTACCAGGTGTCTGTAACAAGGGGACCTGTACCAGGGGGCCTGTATCAGGTGGGTGCAGCAGGTACAGGTCACACAACACACACACGAGAGCCTCACACCGCAACATGAAGCACCAACACAGCAGCTGGTGGTGAAGGCACCAGACTATACTCTCCGCAGGTAAGTGATATCTCTGACAATGGCGGCAGTTTATTTAATAGGTACTATCATTACACTAAATCTGTTCTGTCACTTTGTGATGGGGGGGGGTGTTTACTATTTGTATCTGCAGACTCGAGCTATTTCCTCTTGGACCCTGTGTACGACCCATGTGTCGTACACACGCACACACAATTGTCGTACTAGCAAATGGAAGCGGCTGGCGAAAGTGACGTACTGTCCCGTTTTCTGTTTTGGGTCCTCTGGTAGGTTAGGAGAGGACAGTTTAAATTGGCCGTTTTCTTGACATTGGGGGAACTTATGAGGACAGGCTGGTTACCTTCTCCGCGCCGGGACGCTGCAAGAACTTTGCTGCAACGTAAAATAATTAAACATAACGGCAGTGATGAGTCAAAACATAGAGAACACATACACACGGACATTATACGCCAGTAAACTGATAAATCGGAGGCGAGACCCGAGAGCTAGAGTTCATCTCCCCTAGAAACCAGGCAAGATAAACACACACACATACACAGTGATTAATCACATATATTCTGCAAACACATAACGTAACTGCAACGATATTTGCCCGTGGGGGTCGAACCAGCGTCCTGGGGTCACGCCTGTCACTCATATATCTGTCACATATCCATACATTAAAACACTGATTGTAACCATGATATATATGTGCTTCCGCCTACAGTTTAGACCTATTGTCTTTTGTATGACCCTCTGTACTGCGTGACAGTGAATACCAGCATTATCCTCACTTAAGACTTAATCGAAATCCTCAGATTAGGCAAAATTGTAATTAATTTTCTCAATAAAGATGTTAATAATACGGGAGAGGACATAGACAGCGGCCCCGTCCCGAGCACCAAGGCCCCGTCCCTCACGACCCGGCTGGGCTGACCCGCTTCTACCTGTCTTCCAGTAGTCCACTGCGGGCTCACCATAGCCCGTGCTACTTGGAACTTTTTGCTCCAGGTAGCGAATCTTTAACAACAACCCGTCTTCTCCATCGGGTACGAGAGACGAAGAATCATTTTAGTTCTCACACAGATCGGGTAGATACAGTAGCTGTCAGTGAACTACGTAGCAACAGAGGTGCAGGGGCAGACAAGATAGTAAAGGAATGTGCCAATGTGCTCAGGTATCCCCTGTGACTATTGCTCACTCCAAACAGGTACATAGGAATAATGTAATAATTCCAGTTGTCGGGTACAGGAAGCTTGTATTTAGGGTTATCGAGGTCTTGTATCCTGATCTTTGTCAGGATACAAGCCATAACAATTACCTAACTCCATAATACCTATTATTTACCTCTGCTAGGTAAACAGAGGTACCAGATGAAAGAAAACGTGCCCAACCGTTTCTGCCCCGACGGAGGAGGAGTGGAAAGACAAAGTACACTACACACACACGTCATTGTTGGCTGTGGTGGACAATGATTTAAAAAAAGACAAACCCACAATGTGCATTCAGATCTATCTGCCTCCTTGTTACTCAGACGCTCCTGATGGCTGACCCAGAGAACTGGCCCAGGTGGTGGTGGTGGTGGTGGTGGTGGTGGTGGTGGTGGTGGGCCGGGATGGTGGTGGTCAAGGTGGCTGCTGGCCAAGGCTGGTGATGGTCAGGGGGAATGAATTTGTGTGAGGGCAGAATGGTTGAGATGCCCCTGGTACGACCCGGATGTTGTGTCGCATTCACATCTTCCCCATCCACTCACTTGATATATTTATATATATATATATATATATATATATATATATATATATATAAAATATAACGCATACGAGCGAAAAGCGACGTTCTTTATAAGAAGACATTTTGGAAGGATAGAAGAAGCAGAGGAGATATGATCACAACATACTGTACAAGATAGCGAGAAGAATAAGACAAGGTGGACAAGGGCGGCGTCTTTTAATTGAGAGAAACCGCGACGAGAGGATACAAGTGGAAGCTGGAATCGTAAATGGGTCGAAGAAATATAAGGAAATACCCCACGTACCCTGTACAGGTGGTCAACAAGTGGAATGCACTGAAAGAAGAACTTGTGGGAGCCACCTCACATTTTTAAGGCCAGATTCGACAAAGAATTCGAACGTCAGAATTCAAGAAGGTTAGCAGACAGGGCATTAAGAACTAGACCTCAATCCCCAGTACACGTTGCTATATAAGCACTGATAACTAACTCCCCCCGACACACACAAACATAAATTACTAAACAACATTTAAATATAACACAGACAAAAAAACGAAGGTAAGCTAAACAATTACTCTGAGGTGCCTGAGCTGCATGCCAAGTGCCTGAGCTATGTGAGGTCAAGTCATTATCGTATGTGTGCCTCGGCTGACACCATCGCTGCTGACTCAGCCTTGGCAGCACCAACTACAGAGTCAGCTAATAGCCCCAGCTAGCCTCCCAGTCTTCATATCAAACTAACCTGACTAAATAGCTCTTGCCAATATCTCTCGTCTATAGCGAGTGGACTCTGATTGCCAACCACAACAGTCTCACTTGTTTTATTTGGCCATTTTCCGTCATGGTAGACATTTGTATCAAATTTAATCGTGAGAAGTTGAAAAATTAACTTTATATGGTAATACGTCTGGAAAGCAAAAGTCACGCGTACAAGAATGTTTTTTTTTTTTTTTTTTTTAGAGAGAACTCCGATGATGAACATAAGCTGAGGAGAATTCTAGGGGTATCTTGAGGTGATTTCGGGGCTCAGCGTCCCCGCTGGTCCTCGACCAGGCCTCCTCTTTTGTGTTACACATCCCCAGGAAGCAACCCGTAGCAGCTGTCTAACTTCCAGGTACATATTTACTGCTAGGTAATAGGGGCATCAGGGTGAAAGAAACTGTTTGCCCATTTGTCTCCGCCGGGGATCGAACCCGGAACCTCAGGACTATGAATCTGAAGCGCTGTCCACTCAGCTGTCAGGCCCCTAGTAGGCGCCGTTTAGAACAAGCTTGGGCCACATGTGAGCCCGCCGCCCGCCGGGGCCCTGCTAACGCAGCTTATGTTTCCCGCTCTGCCCGAAACGCTTTGCGTAATAGTAGCTTTAGGCATTGTATGTACTAGCCCTATCTATAAATTCATCAATATCTGTTTCACCCCTCGTATGTATATACTTTACCTAAATAAACATTTGAATTTGAATGTTGGTGCCTCTCCGCCCGCCAAGGACACCAACACCGGCCACAACCACTCTGAACACCATAACAGGAAAAAAACGAAGACGCTGCTTGTGGCGAGATCTGGATCGTTACACAAAAAATGATTACAAGGTGGGAGGCTGGGCAGACACCGGCGTGGCGTGTTTTTGTGAGGGTAACTGGAGCATCCGCACGTCTCTGTGTGTGTGGTGGCACGCTGGCTGGAGGCGTGTTTACTCATCACCACACACATGGACCTTGGGGGTAAATACATGTACAGTTGCTAGCCTTTTTCGACTCCCAGCCGGGGAAGGGGTGAATTCTATTACTGCTTTTTACTGTTACTGCTGCTAATGTTGATGATAATAAGCATGCTCCGTAACTCCAACACTATCCGTTACACCGCTGTCGCTAGCGTCGCCATCATATAAATGACCCTTGTAAGTCTTTGGGATTCCGTACAGGAGCAAGCAGTCGTCGCAGCAGCCCGCCAACACTGGGTAGAGTTCGTCTACCTTCGACGAGCCGGACCATCTGTCCTCCACTGGTTAAGGTTCGTGTTCCCAGCACGGGATACACAGGCGACTGAGTAGTCCCTGCAGCTCAGCCTTGTACCCGGTACAGACTTCTCTCAGACAAGCAACTAAAGATTGTTCTAGTTGCTGGGCCGGGAGATTGTTCTAGTTGCTCGGCCGGGAGATTGTTCTAGTTGCTCGGCCGGGAGATTGTTCTAGTTGCTCGGCCGGGAGATTGTTCTAGTTGCTCGGCCGGGAGATTGTTAATCTAGTTGCGAGACAGAAACAGACATAGAAGTTCGACCAAATCGGGATTGTTATGTTATTGTCAGTTATTGTCAATGAAACTTATTTTCCTAGCACGCATAGGTACTACGTCCCAACAATGCTCCCAAGGTATTGTCACCCGAACACCGACCCACGGTTACCCAACCACTTGGACTGGACGGTTGAGCGACGGTCTCGCTTCATGCAGGTCGGCATTCAATCCCCCGACCGTCCAAGTGATTGGGCACCATCCCCAAATCCTTATCCTGACCCCATCCCAGTGCTATATAGTCGTAATGGCTTGGCGCTTTCCCATGATAGTTCCATTCCATTCCACGGTAGCCTCATGGCGTGTATCCACCACTCAAGATGTGTTTGAGAATTCACAATCAACGAATAACTTCGTACGTTAAGCCTCGCAGAGAAGTCATTTGCATTTTTATATAGTTGGCGATATACCGCTGAGTTATGAAGTGTCTCTATTAACTGGCTTTCAGTGAGAGCTTGAGTAACACGACCTTCAAGGGGCGTCGAGGTTAGGTATATGTTAGCTGTCTAGTGCAGGCCGGGCGCGGTGTACCACAAGATTGCTGCTAATATTTTTTTGTTATATATTTCTGTATTTCTTGGCGCTTTCTCCTCGTAGTTCCCTTCCCTACGCTGAACAAACATAGGAGGAGGAGTTATCCTCTATCTGAGTAGAGGAGTTACTCCTCTATCTGTGATTAACAGTCTGCTCTTCAAGCACTTACAGCATCTGCGAGAGACACGGGAGCAGCCTCATAGTAGCAATTATAAACAACTTGCTCGGTGTGAAGAATAAAAGGTTTAAAAATATATTTTGTGTGGATTCCTTCTCGTATGAACATAACTCATAATGATAACACGGACATGGCAGCCAAATTAGCATGCAACAAGGATGAAGTTGAACTAGGTATCCCCATCTGTATTGCCCAATACATTCAGTCCTAAAACTCGTCCCTCATATTCCCTCCTCCACCACTCCTCTCATTCAGCACCCTCCCCTACCCCCCAAACCCCCTTACTATTCCCCGTACCCCCCATGCATTTTAGACATGACAAATCAACTAACCGGATACACAATCGCACACTATATAGGTGGTGGAGGGGGGGGGGGGAAGGTTTACAGGGAGGATGGTGAGGAACAGGGCTGGGTTGTGGGGGTGGGGGGGGGGACATGTTGCTAGCCGGAGCTTAATGCTGTGATATGTGGACAAGAAGATGAATATGCTGATGAATGTAGTAGATGAGAATTGTCATGTGAGAACAAGACGAGGAACATTGGGTAAGGCATGTAGGAGGGGGGAGAGGCCTTACCTTGAGGTTACCTTGAGGTGCTTCCGGGGCTTAGCGTCCCCGCGGCCCGGTCGTCGACCAGGCCTCCTGGTTGCCGGACTGATCAACCAGGCTGTTGGACGCGGCTGCTCGCAGCCTGACGTATGAGTCACAGCCTGGTTGATCAGGTATCCTTTGAAGGTGCTTATCCAGTTCTCTCTTGAACACAACAATATGCACTGTACTTGCTAAGAAAAAGGACATTATGAGCATTAAAGTGGCAAAAGGCATATCAACAATCCCGAAACAAAGAACACAAACACTTGAAGATGTTAAAAAGTTTTTATTAATTTGGATACACAACAAGGAGTTAGCAGGTGATAGCATTTCAGAGGCCATCATTTGTGAGAAACCAAGGCATTTGCATGAAGACCTTTTAAAGAAAACCCCTGGAACGAGGGGCGGGGGGAAGATGAATCAAGTTTGAAAATGTGAAAAGTTTGTATGACAATAGAGCCTCGTGGAAAACTTTTGCTGTGGTCATTACCTGGTGGAATGCACCCAGGATGGAGTATTAGGGCTATACATCTTTTAAATCATAAAAGTAATAAACATTTCCCATCAACCTTACAAACAATATTAACCTATTTTCATGTATTTCCCCCATGTGCATTTTAACAAAGTTGCTAAATTGCCTTTATCATTCTGTAAAATTTCAATTACAGTACTGTATGTATAATTTTGTTAGTATAAATGGACTGAATATTCTGAAATTGCTATTAATTTTACAATTTCAGATTCAAAGGTGGTCTGGACACCCAATTTGGTCAGACAGGTGAAGAGAGCATTTAGGATAGTTCGAAGAGATGAAGATGGTCGCAATTGTGTTCGAAGAGGCAAACGCCCCCCTTTGCTCCTGACATTATGTTCAACCATTGACCTCTGCACACCTAACACAAGGTAGGTTGAAAACTCCTCCTTCATGTCATTGGTACATTAGCCAGAAACTCAGGGCTCATGTAGGAATATCCCTAAAAAAAAAAAAAAGTGGCCCCAACAATGCATCCTCCAAGTCTGGAGGATGAGCAGGAGCATTGTTGAGAAGCAGGACCTTGAGTGTCAAACTTTTCTCTTGCAGATATTTTTTGATGGCAGGGCAAACCACTCCACATCACAGTTTTTCTGCACGTTATATATTTTTTAAAACTCTTGGATTTTCGGAATGATACACGAGCAAGGGTTTAATTTTCAAATCGCCACACAGCACAAGAGTTAGCCTATCCTGACACAAGTTAACCCAAGTTAGCTTGTGTCCGGGCAGTGACGTCTCCTCTTGGGTAATGTATGTCCTCTTCGGCAATTTTTTCCAGAATAGCCATGTCTCCTCACAATTAAACACTTGTTGTGGAATGTATCCATCAATACAGCACAGTGTATCTACAAAATTTTAATTTTTTACTTATATATAGTGTCACCTCGGCTTACGAATGAATATTTACGAACTTTTCGGGTTACGAGCCTAATTTCTTCGAAAAATTTGAATCGGGTTACAAACTTTGCCTCGGGAAATGAGTTTGTTGATATGCGTATGGGCTGACCTAGCGCGTGGTGGCATGGTGATCGCACCTCAGTTTACCAGTGTCTCCTGCCTAGTAACTATCGCGCCTGAATTCTTTATAAAGCATTACATTTGTTTTGGGATTTTTGGCTATTTGAACATAAAATTTGTTATTATATATCTTGCCATGAGTCCCAAGAAAGCCAGTGGTAAGGTTCAAGCCAAGAAAACACATGTGAGAATGACCATAGAGGAAAAACAAGAGAGCATTCATAAACGTCAAAACGGTGCACAGGTTGTTGAACTAGCTAGGCAGTACAACAAATCTATGTCAACAATATGCACTATACTTGCTAAGAAAAAGGACATTATGAGCGTTAAAGTGGCAAAAGGCATATCAACAATCCCGAAACAAAGAACACAAACACTTGAGGATATTGAAAAGTTTTTATTAATTTGGATACACAACAAAGAGTTAGCAGGTGATAGCATTTCAGAGGCCATCATTTGTGAGAAACCAAGGCATTTGCATGAAGACCTTTTAAAGAAAACCCCTGGAACGAGGGGCGGGGGGAAGATGAATCAAGTTTGAAAATGTGAAACGTTTGTGTGACAATAGACCCTCGTGGAAAACTTTTGCTGTGGTCATTACCTGGTGGAATGCACCCAGGATGGAGTATTAGGGCTATACATCTTTTAAATCATAAAAGTAATAAACATTTCCCATCAACCTTACAAACCATATTAACCTATTTTCATGTATTTCCCCCATGTGCATTTTAACAAAGTTGCTAAATTGCCTTTATCATTCTGTAAAATTTCAATTACAGTATACTGTATATAATTTTGTTAGTATAAATGGACTGAATATTCTGAAATCACTATTAATTTTACAATTTCACCATACCTCACCATACCAACTCTCACCATACCAACATAGTGGATCGTTATGGTGAATACATACGTAGATGGGTATATACAATGTGTGTATATAGTGTAATAACAGCAAAAACACTGTTTGATTGTAGAATATATCGCATATATGAGGCCCATAATTTTGAGCATAGCGATGTTCTATACTTTGAATTATATAAATTCCACAAATTACACACTTTTAAATAATATTACAGCAAAAAAAAGAAGAAATGAATGAGAAACTTCAAAATAATTGCACAACATTTTATTCACAGCAACTGCCGTCGCACGGGGTGGCGGGGCCGACAGACCCCCATCGCTCCAACGCTCAGCGCCCATAATTTGCTCAACTTCCCAGCTCCATCGCAGCTAAAGTAAGTCACATACAATATTTTTTGTTTAGTTTCCCCGTGATCAGACTCTGCATTTTAACAATATAAGAAGAGAAAAAAAATTTTTGGAAAGAATTTATTTCTTGTGCACCAGGGTGTTATTTGGAGACAGAGCAGTTCAGTGGTTAACTACTAAATTTTTTTTTCTCCCACACACGCACCCCCCTAGGAAGCAGCCTGTAACAGCTAACTCCCAGATACCTATTTACTGTTAGGTAACAGGGGTCTTCCCCTTTTGTACAAAGAATCTGCTAAAGCTTTTAGGGCTAATCTTTGACACTCGTTTGTCTTTGTCGCCCCATATTTTTTACGTCCGAGTTGAATGCTCTAAGGCCCTTAACTAACTTTAGGTCATGTCCCATACTTCTTGGGGAGCTAATCGACACTGCTCCTCTCTTTACATTCCTCTCTCGTTCTGTCTAAACTCGATTATGGCCCTGTTTACTCGTCTGCTTCTCCTTCTACCCTTCACCATCTGGACACACTGCATCATACTGGGTTACGGCTCAGCTCTGGTACCTTTCCTTCGACACCTACCCTAAGCCTGTATGTTGAAACTGGCGTCCTGTTTCTACAGGATCGCCATGATCGCTACTGTCTTCTCCACCTTGCACGGTCCTTACAGCACCCTCACTCTTGCTTATGTCATGCCTTGATCTTTACCCATCCTGTGGTTCCTGTTCCCCTTCACCACCTATCTCTTTCTGTACGGTTGTCTCTCTTACAAAATGCTCTTTCAGTTTGTGTTACCAATATTTCCCCTCGTGTCATTCCGTCTTTGCCCCTATGGAGGGGTCCCCGTTCCTAAATTCTGTAAGCCTTGACCCACATGACTAAAACTTTTACCCCTCCTACAGTTCTAAATCACCTTTTCCTTGAACACTTTTCTTCACACTTCCACTCTATTTCCGTCTTCACCAATGGGTCTTAAGTCTGCAGACGGTGTAGGCTACTCTGTTGTTTTTCCTGACTGCACCTTTGTGTCTCCTGCCTCCGGAGACTAGCATCTTCATGGGAGAACTTTATGCTATTCTCTATGCTCTTCATCAACTCTTTTCTCGCTGTCAATCCTCCTCTGTGTTTGTAGTTGACACTTGCAGTGCCCTCATGGCTCTAGAATCCTTTAATCCAGTCCATCCTTTGGAAGTTGAAATACAACATTGGCTGTTTCTTATCTCCAGTAGATTTAAGACAGTGGAATTTCGCTGGATTCCCACCCATATTGGTGTGTTCTTAAATGAGCGTGCGGACGCTGCCGCTAAGGAAGCTATCCGCACCTGTCCCATCTCCCGTAAAGGTATTCCTTATTATGACTTTTACCCAGTTATTCATTTCCCCATTCTTGCCCGTTGTCAGGGTTGTTGGTCTTCTGTTACTGGTAACAAATTGCGTGCTCTTAAGAGTAGTGTGTTCCCGTGGCCTTCCTCCTACCACCGTAACCGGTGGTGGGAAACGGCTCTGGCGAGGTTGTATATTGGTCATACACGTTTAACTCACGGGCACTTAATGGAGCGCTGCCCTGCTTCTTATTGTCCAAACCGTTGTCTCTACATGTCCTGACTTCCAGGACTTACGTGTCTTGCTTCCCGACCATCCCTCACTGTCAATTGTCCCTCGATAAAATTCTTGGTAAATTCAATACCTTTGATATTGTTCGCCGTATGCGTTTTTGTTCTTGTATTGGCGACGTTAGTGATATTTAGCGCACTATGATTATCCCACACATTTGATGGTTTGATAATTACTGTACTGTACAGTACTTTGGTTTGGAATGTATCAAATAAAGTTGTTTCATGTATTCAAATGTGTGAGAAAATCCACTGGGGCTGTGAGATGAAGCGAACCTGTAACAAAGGCATTGCCAGTTGCATACTCTACCACCACTGATGGTAAAAGTCTTACAACTGGATATCTTGTGTGACGGGTTATGGTATCACAGCTATACTGAACCAATATGGTATGGCTCTCCCTCACATAAATGAAAGACATGCTGCTATTGGCCTTGCAGTGTGTAAGTTGCAGGTGGAAACAAATGAAAATTATCAAATAAATAATTAAACAATTTACTGAAATAGTAATGAACAAAAATAACACATGACAATACTTGACTATCATGTAATGCAAAGGTGAACAAGTTAGTATGACCTTAAATGCAAAAAATAAACTATAAGCAATGAATAAAAGTATGAAGATATACTGGTGTTCTGAAGACAGCTACCATACCACCATGGCATCAGTCACACGACGTTGGCTGGAAGTGGACGACGGGTTAGAGACACCAAGGTGATCCTAGAGCACTAAGGGAGAGATTGCCTCTCCAGGGAGGCAGCGCTCTTTATATAGTCCGGCGGTGATGACTCATCCAGTGTCAACACGAGGTGGACATCTGGTCAACTAGCAAACTGCTCGTTGTGGCTGGCGGTGCCTTTGTGTTGAGCTGTACCACTGTCAGTTGAAGGCGGCTAACTGCTTGTTTGTGGGGACAAACTGCCAGTTAGCAGTGGCGCCCGGCTTGCCTCTGAGTCGTACCAGGCCGTGCCAGGCCCTGGGGGGTATGGAGAGGTGGCAGGACTGATGACTCTTCTGGGCTGGTGTAGATGTATACTTCCAGTGCAGAGGCATTGAAGGTGAAGGGAAAAGGCAGTTCCACTGCTATGCAGGGGATTCACGTGACACTTGTGAAGCCACAGAAAGTCTGGAGGCCCTACTGAAGCCAGTCCAAGTATTAAATAAAACCCCTGAAGTACGCCGGTGAAGGGTAAAGTGAAGGGTGAAGCAAGACGTATGCCCCAACTTCAGGCACGCACAGAAAATCACGTTTTGGTCCCGCCTCTCAACTGTATATTTGAAGTTGGAGCGTATGGTGTTGAACTGCTTCTTCAGCCTTCACCTGAGTGCTTGTAGGTCTTACGTAAGACGTTGACTCAAGGAGGGGCCTCAAAACTTGCTGTGATTTATGGGGAAATCCGGTTGTAAGACTTTTACAAAGTC